CTATACTATACTATACTATACTATACTATACTATACTATACTATACTATACTATACTATACTATTGAAAAAAAACAGAATGTACCCTGTTTCCCTGAAAATAAAACATCCCCGGATAATAAGCCCAATTGGGCTTTTAAGTGCATGCACTAAAATAAGCCCTCCCCCAAAAATAAGCCGTACCCAAAAACATTGCAACACAGCAACAGCCATGAGGTGAACACGAGACTCGTTATTTCCTGCACCTCAAAAATAATAAGACCTCCCCAAAAATAAGGCAAAGCACTTATTGTGGGGTCAAAAGAAAATAACACCCTGTCTTATTTTCGGGGAAACACGGTATTAAATTCTGTGTAACCTACTATTAAGAATAAGAACATAAAATGATTTTGAATTGAGTTTTGACTCCTGGTAATTTTTTGGACACAGCCATCTGGTACTAGCAACTTGTAGGTATGGTATAAATATTTTTAATAAATACATTTATATAAAAATTATATGTTCGCAGTATGGAATTGGCGAGAAAATCTATTTTGCCAACTCTAATTCATTCTTTCTATAAGTGTCCCAGAATGGATGAAAAAGATTAAAACTAACAAAAACAAAGTTGATGTCAATAAAGCAGGTTAAGAAACAACAGAGGGAAATACTCATTTGGAAAAAATAAACTTGCAGTTTGTGAAGGAATATAGATACAGAACAAAGTGACAAAGTATAGAACGGAATGGAGTTCTAATACTAAGAAAATATGAATAGAAAGTCTACTAATGGTTTAAGCAACAGCTATCATTAAAGGCTCCAATAGGTGATTTTTAAAAGTTGAAGATTCATGTGAATAGAATGAATTGCAGACTCTTCAAGGAACCTTGAAAAAAAACAATTAAAGCATATAGCAAGAGCACTAAATTTTTCTAAAGAAAAAATTTGGGCAGCCAAGTCCACTGATAAAATAAAGAGATTGTGTGATCCAAGTAATGTGCCTGTTTTAAAATTGTAGCAGCTTCTCTGCACTCATAGCATTGGCAATTCAACAGAGATAATGTATGGATTTATGGTCAAATAGAACATGCTTATCAAGGATCTTTTTTCTAATTGTTAAAGCCCTCGTATCTTTTTTCAGGCCTACTTTAGCTTTGGAAACTGCAAAACAATTCTCTAAAAAAATGTGTTCCCTCATCTTCCAAAGCACTTCTTTCCAATGATCAACATATCCCTCTTATTCATTTGCTTAGTTTTATTTTTTAATGTGTTGCAGTACTCTTGAAGACTGTAACTTACACATAATAAATATAAGAACAGATTTTGAAGAGTTAAACTTTAAAAACTTGCATTGATTTACCCATCTTGGGTAAATAAGGTTAAGAAATTGAAAGTTCTGTGGAACAGCTTTGCTTTTTTATTTTCCCAAATTCCATCAGGAAATTTACATTTGGACCTCTGGGGCAGGCTTTGTTAGTAAGCACTATTAACTCTGCCTTATCTATATTTAATTTCATCTCCATTTACAGTGGATTCCAGTTGTGGATTCAGAATTTCCTGTAGTGCATCTATAATAAAAGGAAAAAAGAGAAAAGTGAATTGGACGGCAAATTGATAAAAATCTCTACAAATTTTTATGCATTCTATATTTGTAAAGAGAGCCAGCTTGGCTAAGGCAGCAGGCTGCTGTTGTTAGTTGCGAAGTCGTGTCTGACCTATCGCGACCCCATGGACGACGTTCTTCCAGGCCTTCATGTCCTCTACCATCCTCTGGAGTCCATTTAAACTCATGCCTACTGCTTCGGTGACTCCATCTACTGGTGACTGGCCGGTTTGATTGCCTTGCAGTCCAAGAGACTCACAGGAGTTTTCTCCAGCACCACAGTTCAAAGGCCTCAGTTCTTTGGCGCTCAGCCTTTCTTATGGTCCAAGACAGCAAGCTAGAAAGCAGGAAAGAGTCAGTTTTAGTCCTGCCTTAAGCACAAAACCAACTGGATGACCTTGCGCCAGTTAATCTCCCCAAGTACTAGGAAGAACTACCTTTGAAACACCTAAAGGCCTCATATCTTTTTTCCAGCCTACTTTAGCTTTGGAAACTTCAAAACAATTCTCTAAAAAGATGTGTTCCCTCATCAAAGTATAGCCAGCCAAACAAACAGGTTTAAAGATAGTTTCTATCCTTGGGCTGTGAGACTTTTAAATACAACCACAATC